GAGCGGGGAGACACGAGGCCGCTACCTGCAGTGATGAGTCCCTGCCAGGCGGCAGGCAGAGGGGGAACGAGGAGCTGGGTTTGGAAGGAGACAGGTTTGGACAATGGAAATGACAGAACTTAGGACTGGCAGTGAGGGGCGAGAGGGGAGGAGGATTCAAAGGTGGGAGCCGGGCGCTGCTGCAGGTAGCAAAGGAAGTGGAGGCCAGGAGTGGGGGGTTGGGGGGGCAAGTCCCTCCGGTGTTTATCCAAACAAAATGAATCACTGTTTTGAAGAGATACCTGCACTCCCATGCTCACTGCAGCGCCATTTACAACAGCCAAGACATGGAAACAGCCTACGTGACGGAGGAATGGATAAAGAAGATGTGACATACAATAAACATGTCTGTGTTTATCTAAATATAGGTGTATACATACATATGTACACATGCACATGTACACAACATGGAATTATTCAGCCACGAAGAGGAGGAAACCCTGCCATCTGCAACAACATGGACAGGCCTTAATGGCTTCATGATTAAGTGGAGTAAGTTAGACAGAGAAGACAGATACCGCATGATCCCACTTATATGTGGGATCCGAAAGACAAACACAATAAAAACCACACTCATTGATACAGAAAAAAGATGGGTGGTTGCCAGAGGCAGGGCGTGGGGGGTGGGGGACAAATGGGTAAAGGTGCTCAAAAGGTACCAACTTCTAGTTATAAGATACATGGGTCCTGGGGAGGCAGGAGCACACGGTCACTACAGTTAATCACACTGCAGCATGTATTTGAAAGTGGCTGAGAGAGTAGATTTTAAAAGTTCTCATCACAAGAAAAAACATTTTTGTAACTATATGGTGGTGGATGTTAACTAAACTTTTTACGGTAATCATTTTACAATATATACATATATCAAATCACTACACTATACACCTGAAACCAATACAATGTTATGTGTTAACTGTATCTCAATTAAAATAAATAATAAAATGAAATGCAGTTTTTCAGTAGCCTCATTTCAAGTTCTCATATCACTGCAGAAAATTCTACTGGGCAGCGCAAGCCAGACCACCACGACATGTCACAGAAATATATTACCAGGGAAATTAACATGCATTCCCTCATTCATGCATCTTAAGCTACTTACTGAACACATTTCTGTGCATAAAATATACCCTGAGTGTCCGTCCTGCCTCACCCGCCGTGTGGCCAGGCGGAGGGGGCATCCGAGGGTGATGCCGTGGTGAAGATGGTGACATGTGCCTGCTTACTGCAGGCTGGTAGCAGGTCACGAGTAGGTTGTTACAAAGGCAAGTGGATGGGTGGTGGGAGCTGCGGGAAGCCCCCTTTTTGGACGGTTATCACATACTATCAAAGGGAGACAGATGTCACTCTGCAGGGGACGCAGTGCTGAGAAAACCAGAGAAAACCCAACAGACCTCAGCTCCCTGCCAAGCTCTGTCGCTTGCCACTCACTAGCTGGGCAAGTCACTTAATCTGGGGAATATAAAAATCTGTGACAAGCCTGTCATCACATCCTCCTCCTGAACCAAGGCAGACATCACGAATCACTCATGCACCTTGTCCTTGATGAACCAGATCTTTCTTACAACAGGCAGCCATTTCCAAGCAGAGGGGGCAAAAGAGACCCCGTCTCTGCCTGGTGGGACCTCACTGAGCAAGCCCCAGATCTCCGTCTACATGGGGGGGCCTGACAGCACGGACCTTGCAGAATTGTTGGGGTTCACTGAGGTGCTGAGGCATCAGATGTTTACTGCGTGCCTCGCCCCTCGCGCCAGTCTGCACACGCAGCCCTGGGAGAGGCAGCTTGGCCAGCAAGGACAGCGGTGTGCTGCCTTCCGGCATGGATCCGAGCCTCCCGCCCTCCTCTCCCCTCAGGCCCCTGTCCTCTGGGCCAGCTCTCTCACTGAACCACTGGCCAGCCGAGGGGAAAGGTGCCCATAAAAGTTAGCCTGCGGGCGTAAGGCAGTGTATTCTCTAGCACCTTCTTTTTTTATATTCTAAATAAGCTGTGGCTGGATTAGCTCTCGGTTCTCACTTTTCTTCCTTGGATTCCATACACAAAACACTGTATTAACAAGCCATGTCTCCCAGGCTGAGCTGTATTTCCATGAACTCTCATTCTGCCTCCCCTAAAACACACAGTAACAGCGTGCTCCGGAGAATATGACATCAAGCCAACCTCAGCTACGTTCCTGTGCGCGCTCTGCCCCCGTTCGTTCTGGCAGCAGGTGGGTGGGTGTGCCTGAGGTAGCGGCGCCCCTGCCGGGGACTGCGCCTGCCACACTCCACTGTGCGTGGGATGCCTGCGCCTCTCAGCCCTCCAGCCCACAGCTCTGCAAAGCACCCGAACGCCACTCCGATGCCTGCTCCTCTCCTTTACGCTCAGCACACAGGGCGGGCTGAGTGCAGGTTAAAGAGGCAGGCCTTGCCCAAAGGGACCAAGCTTATCTGCTCTGTCACCCAGCACAGAAAATCCGCTTTGCTGGGCCTGAGATACATATTCAGCGACAGGGCTGAGCAACAGGGCGCAGGCCTGGGCAGCCAGCAGTTTCATTGCCCAATTCCAGAAGATGCCGAGGACCACTGGCCAGGAAGCACCCAGTGAACTTGGTGTGAGAGGACACAGACCTAGATGCTAGGTGTGCGCTGGGGCCATGCCGTGCTGGGGCTGCATTTAGGGTCTGGGAAGGGCCCCTAAGCACGCGGGGTTGGGCGGGGGGCGGGGGACGGTGGGTAGGCCAGCCTGCGGGGCAGGGGAGGCTGACACTCTCACTGCAACTTCCTCAGTCATTCCAGTGGTTTGGACTTTCCTTAAATTTTAACTTTAGGCATTTGTTTTTAAAAACTCCAAGACAGGAATCAGAGGAAGCTGTTACTTCTCTGAGCAGCGTCGTGGGTGAACAGAGCCCTGTTAGCCTCCAGATCCCCAGAGCCTTGCACATATTTGTTTTCGAGGGGGCTGGCCGCTGGGTGGGAGTCTCAGCAGGAAGCAGTAGGAGGGCGGACAGGAAGGAGGCAGAGGCACAGACCCCAAAGCAATGCTCGCAGTCTCTCATCTGGATATCAAACAGGGCAAGACAACTGCTTATCATTCCTGGGGATGAACACATTCATTCATCTGACAGCCATGCATGTCTACTTTGACCAGAGCAGTGGGGAGACGATGCAGGCCCTGCTCTCAGGGGGCCCCCAGTACTGTGGGGGAGCCAGGCATCGATCCTAGAACAGGGTGAGGGGGCATAGTCGTGAGGTCCAGAGTAGTGCAAGGGTCAGGCGGGCTGCCTGGAGACAGTGACCACCTGGGTTTTTCAGGAATACGAGCTGAGGCAGGCATTTGGAGCTGAGCAGGATGGGAGAGACCTGGGTGTATCTAGCATGGAGGTTAGTGAAGAGCTCAGGTATGTGCTCCCTCAGGTACCTCCCCTGACCTCTCCCAGCCTGAGGCAGACCCCCCGCAATGTGCCCCAGTGTTGAGTGTGGGGCAGGCCAGCTCCAGTCCAAAGATGAGTTCGGTTTGAATTATATTGTGGTTTCAAAAGATTTAAATTAGCTATTGACATTCACAAACCAGAAAGGCTCATAGCAAAATCTGATTCCCGGTTCTTGGAAATGCTCAGAAAACCCAGCAGCGCTGGCTGGCGCTCCTATATGGCAACCATTAGTTGAAGGTCAAAAGTGGCCTGTATGTCCAGCCAGCGTGGCTCAGTAGTTGAGCATTGACCTATGAACCAGGAGGTCACAGTCGATTTCCGGTTAGGGCACTGCCCAGATTCTGGGCTCAATCCCCAGTGTGGGGCGTACAGGAGGCAGCCAATCAATGGTTCTCTCTCATCATTGATGTTTCTATCTCTCTCTCCCTCCCCCTTCCTCTCTGAAATCAATAAAAAATATGTATATTTCTTAAAGTGGCCTGTGCTTGCCAGTCTACCACACTCCCCACACTCAACACACTCCCCACCATGCCCTAGCATTCTTCTAACAATATTGAGGCTGATTCAGAGTGGGGTCCCATTTAGCATCTCACTTGTCCTATAAATTGCCTTCTAGTGGAAGGGGAAGTAGGACAATTGTCATCCCCATCTCTATCATAAGAGGGGGAAGAAGACAGGCTGAGGGTTCCCATCCTTCCTCTGCCACTGAGCTCCCACCGGGTCCCAGCAGCTTCTGTCTGAAACCCTCGCACCTTGGGCTCACCGTTACCAAGGTCTTCGTCACACTACACTATTCCTCATTTATGTGTCTGCCAGCCGTCAGATGCGGAGTTTCTCCAGGGCATGACTGTGTCTGACATCAGAGTCCTCACAATTGATCATAAAGCTTGATGGCCCCTAGTTATGTGCTCAGTAGTAAATGTCAAATGAAGGGATGGATGCAAATGGATACATGAAACACAGTCCAGCAGAGAAAAGTGAGGGCCTGGGTGTAGGGGTGGTGGGAGGGCAGAGGAGAGGAGGGGTTCTGAAACCAGAGGGGCAGCAAAGCACAGAGCAGGGTGCACGCACAAGGAGCACCGGCACCTGGGAGCTGGTTGGACACGCTGCAGCAGGGGCACTGCCCTCGGCCTGTGGGGTAGACCCTGCTTTCTAGCAAGTCCCACGGCAGTCATCATGGATTACAGTGTGAGAAGAGCTGGCTAAGCGAATGGGTCCGGAGTCCGACCTCAGGGGTTCAAATTCTTACTGTGATGCTTACTGGCTGTGTGACATGGGCCATGTTACATCAGCTCTCTGTGTGTGTTTCCTTATCAGTTAAAATTGAGCCTCAGTTGGTATTTTTCCAGTTCCCCCAAAGGGTGGCCTGAGTACCCCTTCCAGACCTCTGAGGGCAGACTCTGCCTGGGTGGCTGTGACACCCCCACAGGCACTTGCCACCCCCAGCAGGGCCTCCTGGCACCCATTTCACAGTTTCAGGAATCAGGCTATTTGGTAGCACTAGGTGCTCCCATCAGCCTAATGCCCAGGGAGGCATCAGAGCCTGGTACTTACACCATCAGCTGTCCAGTAGTTCCAAACCTTGATCCTGGCCAGGCCAAAGGCATGCAGCCTTCTCGTGTTGCGGATAACGAAAAAGAGCTGCAGCGGCGGGTGGAAGGGGCAGGTCCACAAGGAGGAGTCTTTCTTGCTCTGAAACACCAGCAAGAGCGGGGAGCAGTCAGTACATGTCTGCCCAGGTGCACCAGCAGTGACTCTACCCTAATAAGACCCCAGAGAGGGCTGAGGGCGGGGAGTCAGGCCCCTTCTCCTTCACCAGGTTAGGGAAGTTTTCTGCCATTATTTCTTCAACCACGTTCTCTATCCCTATCTCCCTTTCTGCCTCTCTGGCACACCTACTATTCTAATATTGTTACATTACATGTTGTCCCACAGCTCCCTTAAGCTGTCCTCCTGTTTTTTGTTTTTCCTCTTTGGTTCTCTGATTGAGTGATTTTTTTCAACTCTGTCTTCTAATTCATTGATTTGATCCTCAGCATCCCCTAATCTGCTGTGTATTCCTTCCAATGTGTTATTTATTTGTGCTATGTCATCCTTTATTTCTGTTTTCATAGTTACTATATCTTTTCTCAGGCTGTTGAGCATATTTACCATCATTTTTCTGAACTGTATATCAGATAAATTTCTTTTTTTAAAAAATATATTTTATTGATTTTTTACAGAGAGGAAGGGATAGGGATAGAGAGTTAGAAACATCGATGAGAGAGAAACATCGATCAGCTGTCTCCTGCACACTCCCTACTGGGTATGTGCCCGCAACCAAGGTACATGCCCTTGACCGGAATCGAACCTGGGACCCTTAAGACCGCAGGCCAACGTTCTATCCACTGAGCCAAACCGGTTAGGGCCAGATAAATTTCTTATCTCCATTTTGTTTAGCTCTTCTTTTGGAGAATTCTCTTGTTCTCTCCCTTGGGGGCTGTTTCTTTGTCTCCTCATTTTGGCTGTCTTTTTGGGTTTGTGACTGTGTATTAAGTAGATCTGCTATGCCTCTCAATCTCTAGTGCAGGACAGTGTCAAACACTGTTTCTGACTAATTAGATCAGGCAAAGACTCAAAGGCCCCAGAGACTGTTTTTGCCTACAGACTGGTAGGATTCCGACTTGAGTGGCCCCAAGCAATCATCCTCAGGTGAGAGTTTTTTTTTCAACAGGGTGGGGCAATTGCTTCTGCCTGGAGGCTAACTGTTATTCTCTTAATGGTCCTCGGAAACTCTGCACTGTGGCACAAGGTGTTTTCTAGTAGGGTGGGTCAACTGTCCTCCCCCCAGGCAAAGCTGCCTGTATAGCAAATGTCTGCATGAGAAAGATGACACAGAGTGAGGGAATGACTCAGCACAGGAAACTGGGGTGTCTGCCTTCTGAGCTCTTACCCCAGAGCCCCCAATCCTGGCTTCTGCTCACACAGCTCCAGTCCACTCTGCCCTCCCTCTGCTGGAGCACAAGATAAGTGGCTCCACAGGAAATTTTGTGTGTTGGCCCTTTAAGAGGGTGCCTGAATTTCCAGCCATCTCTCCCTGGCAGACAGCAACCCCACTACTTTTCACAGCCAGATATTATGAGGGTACCCTTCTCAGTTCTGGTGCTCTCTGCTGGGGGCCCAGCTTGGGGATTAGACCCCAGAGTTCTCAGTGGCAAACCCCACAGCTGAGATATCTCTCTGGAACTTTAGTTGCTGTCTGTGGATGCCCGGCCAGCCCTTTCCCCTCTCCGCCCCTCCTATCAGTCTCTATGCAGTCTCCCTTCTCTACAGAATCCCCGGGTGGGGGTAGGTCTCCAATCTCTCCCCACCTGGACTGACCCTCACCCTGGCTTAAAGCTGCCACTTGGGCCATCAGACTGAATTTAAAATGCAGGCTTTGCTGTGCTTGGCCTTGAGGAAGCACTGAGGGCGGGGGCTCTAGAGGAAAGGGCAGGATAAGAGCCACCACTTGCCTTATCTGATAAACCTGGCAAACAGAGTTTTATTTCTCTTGTAAA